GGCTATATCTATTTTTTGCAAATGGCACTTCATTTGTCTGAAATCATTTCATAAGGAAATAATTTTTATCAACTTTGGAAGATGTGTCTGAGATGGAATTAACATTCAGACTATGTGAAGCCATCTACAAATTATCTCAAAGAAGCAGTATCCTTATGAGCAGTTGAAACAGCTACAAAGAGAGGTTCACAGGATAGCTAATAAAAAAAAAAAAAAGCCATTAGTATAAAGAAACCAGGGACAGAGGGAAAAAACACATTTTTACACAAATCGAAAGCCACATGTTGGGAAATACAGCATTTTTGCAAATTAGCTACCATCCACATGGGGATTTTTATAGAGTGTCTGGTAGAGAGTAGCACCAAGATTTTTGTTTTTTATTTCTTTTTAAAGATGTTATTTATTTATTTGAGCGAGTGAGAAAGAGAGGGAGCACGTGGGGGGGGAGGGTCAGAGGGAGAAGCAGATTCCCCATTGAGCAGGGAGCCCGATGCAGGACTCAATCCCAGGACTCCAGGATCATGACCTGAGCTGAAGGCAGTCGCTTAACCAACTGAGCCACCCAGGCACCCAGATTTTTGTTTTTAAGCATCTGCCTTCAGCTCAGGTCATGATCCCCCCCATCCTGGGATCAAGCCCCGCCATCAGGCTCTGTGCTCAGCAGGAAGCCTGCTTCTCCTTCTCCCTCTGCCTGCCTGTCTGCCTACTTGTGATCTGTCAAATAAATAAATAAATATTTTTTAAAATAAATAAATAAATAAAGGATAAGTAAGCATTCCACCAAGAACAAGAGTAGATTAGTTATCTGTGAGTTGCACAGTTCTGGTAAACATATAAAAAATTCCTTTAATTCCCAATTCTTACCTTTTCCTGTCTTTTTTCAAAAGAGGATTTAACTTCATCAGAATCTTTCTGTACATTTAAGATATTTGTATCCTCACTTTCCTCATCATCTGGCAAAGCAAAGGTCACTCTTTTCGAGGTTTCTTTATGCTGTTTACTGTCTTCACTCTCTTCAAGGTCATTATCTTCATCACTATAGTACCAAAACACTTATGAAAGGATAATACACTATTTTTCATTAGGAAAACAAAACCAATTCTCTAGAAAAGATATTCTATATACCTCATGCAAATAGAATTCCAAAGTCATTCAGTTATTAAGGAACAGAAGGTATTATTATTCAGGTGAAACAGAACAAAAAGTGTGCAATATATAAAAAATAAATTACTCCTCAATCTATAATACAAATGTATCTCACAATAATAATAGTAAAGGTATTTTTATTGGAACAAAAAGCAAACAAAAGCTCCTTGTAATAAAGGTTTGATTGCCACTGCCAGTGATATTTATCTTCATCGGATCATCTTTAAAGCCCCTTTAAACTCAGAGACTTTCTTCTGGCTACCTTGTAACTATCTGATCTTAGAGAATATAACTTCTTAGGACAAACATATTTGACAATTATGAGTACACACATATAATTGGATGGTTCTAGCTTACAGGATTCAAAATACTCACGTTTCAGAAATGCTCCCTTCTCCTTCTTCGTCAGCAATTTCTTCCTCATCTTCATTTGAACCCAGTTCATCGTCATGAACACTTGCTAGTTCTTCATCACTTTCAACTGGATCAAAAAAGTCTTTGTATTTCAAGTTTCTGGAACTTTTACCTGACTAAAGTAAAAAGACTTTTCAAACTTTCAATTAAGAACAGAAGAACACGTTAAATCATGCGTATATGTGTATGCGTATTACATAGGGGGAACTGGTAACTGACAACATTACCATAAAACTGTAAGAACTACTAGACTTTAACAAACTGGAAGGAAGCATAGATTCATTTATAACTGGTAAGACAGAGCACAATATTCCTAACTCTAAAGCTTCTAACTATAATTATTTCCAAAATATCCCTGCCTAAAGTATACAAATGCCTTCCTCTATTATTATTTTTAGCATTTGGTGAGAATATGTTTGAGGGAAATTCTGAATACCTCTAACATGTGTGATTATGGTTCTTATACTACAAAACAAATATTCTGTGATAAGGAAATGATGGCTTTGGTTTAATTTTTCTAGTCCATTGTTTTCAACTGATCTTATATTTCATTTACACCCTGGTGAGTTTTGAGGTATTTTAAACCTCTTCTCAAGAAATAGAACAAAATCTAATTTAAGGAGGTAGAAAGTCCTCTCTCTCTTCTCCCAAAACTTTACCTTAGGTTTTTGACTTCTAAGCAGTTCTCCCTCATCTTCATCAGAATCAACGTCTTCAAAAAAATCAATGTCTTCCTCTTCCTCATCATCTTTTTGTTCTTCTTCCTTTTCCATGTTTTCTAAAAAGGTCTCCATTTCAGACAGTTTGAAAAATTTATCATCTACTATGGACTTCTCTCTTGGTTTCCTAGGCACTTTGTCTTGCACCTTGCTCTGTTGCTCCAATTTGCTGATATCAAAATCAAGATCAGAATCCTCATCGCTGAAAACTGGACTTTTCCTCAGATCAACTTTGCTCAAGTTTTTAGCTCTCTCATCCACTTTAGGATCATCACCACTCAGGTCAGCCACTTCCTCCTCCTCATCTTGTTTGAGGGCCTCCTGGCCATCAGACTCCACCTCTGAGCCTTCCTCTTCACACTCCTGCTCTTCATTCTCTGGAAGAAGACTGATGTCTTTGTCTTTAATGGTTTTACTAACTGCATTCTGGAAGTACTGTAAAATTGGTTCATTTTGCAATTCTAGTTGTTGCCAAATCTGCTCATCATCAAAATTGTCTATCACCAGTTTTTTTAACGGACTTCCGTGGATCCTGTCATTCTCTAATATTTTATTAAAATCATAAAGTACTTTTGTTAACGAAGTGAAGTTTGATGCCAATTCATCTTGAATCCTATTAAGGGAGCACAGGGAGAAAGTTTAAAGAGATTTATAATTAAAGGCAATAACCACACCTAAGCACTGTGAATTAAAAGGAAAAAGAAGCCCAACTCTTGTGCAAAATCAAACTTGAATGAAATATCAATTTTAAGTACAGATTCTGGCCCCTAAGAGTGTATTATCTTGCTAAGGAGCCACACTAATATATAACTAAGTCTATGATCCGCTATATGGATTTTAGGCAGGGAACTATTACACACCTCTTTGCTTAAAGATATATAGTGAATCTTAGCCTTAAATGCTCAACTCTGCTATATTATACGCCACTCCGTTCAGTCAGCCAATGGTTAACACTTGCTTTGGCAAGAGTGCTTAGAGAATACATCTGAAGATGTGACATCTGAAATGAGACCTGTATATAAGGAGACAGTCTTACAAAGACCTGGAAACATATATTTCAAGCAGAAAAAACAGTGAGAACAAATTTCCTAAGATAGAAATGAACTTGGTGAGTTTGAGGAACAGAAATGCCAGCATGGCTGGAGTGTGGTGAAGGAGGCAGAAGGCCAGGGAGGTAGATGGGAGCTGTATCATGCAGGGCTCAGAGGTAAGAGTTCACTATTTTAAATGTAAAGAGAAGCCATCAGATGATTTTAAGCAAAGGAGGAAAATGATGTCATTTACACTTTGGAAAGATGGCCAACTGAGGGAAAGGAACGAAAGTACAGTAATTAGGTTGACACAGCCATCCAGGCAAAGGACAATAAACAACTGTGCAGGGGTTAGAGCAGCAGATACTGTGACAAGCAGTCAAATTTAGAATATAGTTTGAAGATACAACCGAAAAAATTTGCTGATGAATTAAGAGGTAGAAATGAGAAAAAGGAAGATATCAAGGAAGCAGCTTAGTTATATGTCTGAACGACTGAAAAAAACAGAGGTGCCAGTTACTGAGATAGGGAAGGCAGGTGCACGTGGAAAAGATTTTAGGGAGGGCAGAGTATAAAAGAGTAAAACAGAAACAACAGGTCATTTTGGACATAAGAAATTTGAGATGTTGAGAGCGTATATAGCTGTAGCTGCTGTGCCCCTGAAGCTCAAGGGAAAGGTCGGGTGTGAAACAAATCTGAGAGCCACCCTTTCATAGATCATACTTTTAAGTCCTTCAACAAAATACAAAGAGCTTGTGTTGGGAAGAGAGATTAAAGTCCTAATTCTCAAGAAGCTCATCGTGGGGGCTGCAACAAACAACAAATTTAATACTTTCAATAAAGTATGATAAATAAGTAAGCACTGGGTGGTTTGGGAGCATGTTGGAGAAAAGAGCAACCAACCTAGTGCACGCGCACCTGTGTGTGAAGAGTAGGGGGGTGCGTAAGACTCAATGGAAGGCTCTGGGCCTTCCTAATCGAGCTTAGTTTGGTTACTACACGACTGGGAGATCGCACTGTACAGCATTTAACAATTTAAACTTTTTTGATAGGCTAGCGGAGCGTAACTATCTGAAATCTGGGGGAAACAGATGTACGCTTCCCTTTACCTTCCCCCTACTCCAGAATTTGCTGGGGACCAGCAGTCCGCACCCACGTGAGACCTGGGCCGCACCCCGAGCCCGGGCTCCGTTCACTTACGTGAGAAAGCACTCTGGCTGGCCAGTGGCTTTATCAACCTCCTTCAGACACCGCTCCAAGGTCCGTCGACGCCAGACCCGCGGGGCCATTGCTGTCTACAACTCGGGACACAGCGCCGCATGCACAGGAAAGGGCCGCCCGGAAACCGCGCCACAAAGACGCGCCTCGCGCAAGCTGGACCCTGGAGACAAAGGTTCCGCGGCGTACAGGTTCCGGACCCACCCCCTGATAGGGCCAATGGCAGCGCAAGAACTTTCACTGGGCCGTTGGTCAGTTCTAGCGCCTTTCTCTAAACTTTCTGTTTTGTATTCCTGAGGGGCCCACAGGGGTGACGCGTCTTTCGTTTAAGTTTCTGCTTTAGATGCACTGGGTGGTTTCAATACGTAAAATAAGAACAATCCCACCCGCGGCACCATAGGAACGCAGCAACGCTCGCCACGCCCTCGAGCCCCGTAGGCCCCGCCCCCGGCCGGGTTGACCTGCCCCCCGACTGAGCTCCTTTCCCCGGGTGAAGCACCTCAGGGTTCATTGGGTCACTTCCCAAAGATGGCGTACATGTTGAAGGCGGCGGCGGCGGCGGCGGCGGTGGCGGCCGAGAGCGCAGTAGGTGAATACCCCGCGCGGTCGGGGCTCTTCGGGGGGCGGGGCGCGCGGGACGCGAGGCCTGGAGCTGGGGGAGGCGGCGGGTGGCCAGAGCACCTAACGTCCACTGCGCTCTGTCCCCCGATCAGCACCTTAGGCAGAAGGTATCTCCGAGGAACGCCTCAGGTTAGCGTGAGGGTTCTAGTATTCGATTCTCACAGCCACCTTAGGAGGTGTGTGCAGTTGACCTTGCCCCTCTTTGTAGGTGGCCCCGGAGAGGCGAAGGACTTGCCCAAGGGGACAGACAGCAAGCCTGGGACAGAAGTAGATGAAGTAAGTGGCAGAGAGACATTGAGTGTTGATTTCCAGTACACCATAGGAGACGCGAGAAACCAGAAAGAAGGGCAAGTCCTTTAAAAAAACGTAAGCTGAACTCCCAAGTACTTCCAGTATCCCTCTGGAAACACTTGGAGGTCAGTTGTGTGAAGAATACGAAGGGAGTGTTTTTTCCCTCCTGCCCTAATATGTTTATTATTCCGTATATAAACAGGAAAGACAAAGGCAGACGGATTTGGAAGGTTCCTTGAGTCCTCTACACCTCCATTTAAAAAAAAAAAAAAAGCTGGACAGATCAGTAATGACAGAAACTCAAGTTTTCTGACTCTCAAGCCACCCACTTTCTCCTCTTTCTTTTTCCTCTTCTTCATCAGAGGGCCACTATTTCAATTAATTTGAAATTCCCTGTTAGGAAGAGTCCCAAGTGGTAATGTCTCAAGAGTTACTCCTGAACATTTGCCATAAAGCCTTCAGCTTAGAACCTTCAGAAAGTGTTCAGGGATGAACCTTTAATAATGTTAGATCGGTTTGCTAGATAGTGCTCTCTCTATTCCACCTATTCAAATTTACAGCTCTAGCCATCCGTTGAAGTCCCATCTCCAACTAACCAGTTCTTTATTGATCACTATAGTCTTCCTTACCGGTCACAACATTTCTTATACATTTATCATTGCAAGTCACCAGGGCTAAGTGATGAGCCACATAACAAAGAAGTGCACCATAGTAGTTTTAGCTGTCTCCACACTTTATCAGTTTGAAGAGGTGATATGTTACATGAAAAAATATTATAATAGGCTGAGTACAGCTTGTTGAAATGAATCTAATAGGTGATTCTCGAGTTTTTATAGTAACACACCCTCCTGGTCCCTCCTTCCTCTCCCTGGTAAGATATAAGCAGCATCTTAGCTCACACACAATTGCAAGTAACCCTTTGCAAAAAAACAAAGATAAGAAAAATAAGACAAAGAGTCATCTCTTATTATCTCTTAGAAAGCCATCTGTTAGAATGTGGATATTGTTCATAAAACATACACTGGAGATATTAAAAGTTGAAAATCAAAATAATGGTAAAAATTTCAGAGGAAAGAGAAGATTCAACATCATGGTTTAATAACATCAACTTTGATGTCAGACAGACCTGGGCTTGAGGCCCAGCTTAGTGTGACCTTGAGGAAATTACTTAATCAGGCCTATTTTCCTTGCCTGCAAATGGGAAAAATAATATTGTCTGATGCACAGAGTTATGGTGAAGATTGAAGTGCTCACTGAACTATTACTGTTATGTCCATTTTATGGCCCTGAGAACTAATAAGCAGAGCTAGGCTGGCACATGATGTACTCCCACTTCAGAATTCATGATTTCACAGTTTGCTTAGGCAAGATTACAGACTTAGGCGAGCTTACAGGGCAGTATTGTTGCATAACTCTAACAGTGAAATAAAGCCATGGGTCTCTACTGGTAATGAGGTCAAATCAACAAGATGGTCCATCATGGTATGCCATAGGATTCAATTCTCTACTATTGGTAAATCCCAGCAGTATGGAGACTAGGGAGTATCTGCATTGGGGATAATAACTAGCTTATACAGTTCTTGAAAGGCAGAATTGTTACATAGTTTCCACTTATATATGATATTAAAAGGAGTTCTCAAAGCAATAGTCATGAGCAGTGTGGGTGAGTCAGAGGGTTACTATAAACAACTAATTTTAACTTGAAAAAATTGTAAATCACTATTCTTGTATCAAAAAGCAAAAGGAGAACTATGCCTATAATACCTTCCAGCATTATTATTCCACCAGGGTGTTAGTAGTCACTAAATACTGAAATACTACCAAAGATCTTCTAAAATCACAGCGCACACCATAAGTTTTCCAGAGTAAAAGGAGACTAGTCTCCTTGTCATAAAAAGTAGTTAAGTTGTGGATTGATGAAATGATTCAGGGAATACAGAAATACCATGTATGTCAAAACATTAATACAAGTAATACAAGTAATCTTTAGTGTTTGAGAAAGATTTTTAATATAAGTCTACTATCATATATAGGGTAGGTGCACGGTCAGTTTTTTCCTTTAAAAGTGTAAAATATGATCAGAGATGCTTACATTTATAAGCAAGTTATTGATGTAACCTTTCTGTAAGTGCTAATAATGATTGTTCTTGGAATTTGTTATGTACTTTGTGCCAGGTACTTTCCTAAACCCTTTATATGTATTATTCATTTTAGTCTCATGAAAATTCTATGAGGTAGGTATTATCTTCCTATATGAGAAAAGAAGGACACAGGGAGGGTACGTAACTAGCCCAAGTTACAGAACTAATGGTAGGGTCAAGATTTGAACCAGGGCAGCTTAACACTGGAGCCCACATTCTTAACCATAAGGCATGCTGCTTATATGACATTTAGACACAAAACCTGAAAGTGAACATATAAATAATAATTTGAATATTAGAGAAGATACATTTTTATATGTGTATTTTTAGAAATACTTTTATTCCATAGTTGATGGGGGGAAACCAAGAGGAAGGGAATGTAACTTCCAAAAAGTCATACATTTATTGCAAGAATTGAATGCTAATAAAGATACATTTTTTTTTTTGGTAGATTATATAGACATCTTGTCATAAGGGAAAAGTAAAATGAAAAAAGTGTATTCTAAAGGCCAGCTCTGATTTATCCTCCTGTTTTAGATGCTTGAAGCTTAAATAACCCCACTTTTTCTTTTATTGTGGTTAAATGTACATAACAAAATTTCCCATTTTAACCATATATAGTTGTACAGTTCAGTGGCATTAAATACAGTTGACCCTTGAACAACACAGGTTTGAACTGCATGGATCCAATTATACTCACAATTTTGCAGTAAAGTACTGTAGATATATTTTCTCTTATGATTTTCTTAACATTTTCCTTTCTCTAGCTTTATTGTAAGAATATAGCATATATATTACATATAACATGCAAAATGTGTGTTAATCGACTGTATGTTATCAGTAAGACTTCTGGTCAACAGTTAAGATTTTAAGTAGTTATATGTGGATTTTTGACTCTGTTGGGGGATGGCACTCTTAACCCCCCATTTTGTTCAAGAGTCGACTGTATATTCATATTGCGCAGCCATCACCATCATCCATCTCCAGAACTTTTTCATCATCCCAACCTGAACCTCTATACTTATTCAACAATAGCCCCCGTTATCTTCTTCCCCCAACCATGGTAACCATTATTCTACTTTCTATGAATTTGACTACTCCAGGTGCTGTACATATGTGGAATTATACAATATTTGTCCTTTTGTGAGTGGCTGTTTCTCTTAGCATGTTTTTAAAGTTCATCCATGTTGTACCATGTGTCAGAATTTCATTCCTTTTTAAGGTTGAATAATAGTCCATTGTATGTGTCCACAACATTTTATCTTTTCATCTGTCAATGGACACTTAAGTTATTTCCAGATTTTGGCTATTGTGAACAATACATCTATGAGCATGGATAAATAAATATCTCCTTGAAGCCCTATTTTCAGTTCTTTTGGATATATACCCAGAAGTGGGATCGCTGGATAATGTGGTAATCTTATGTTATGACCCCACCTTTAAGGAACATAATACTTTACAGAAAAACAGGAGAAGCTCAGAAAAATGAATTCTATTAAGCACACACAATAAATTTCATTTCGGCTTGCAAAGGATTACCTTCATGAAAAAAGGTAGTTTTGAAAATAGAAGATGATCCTAATAGGAGACAACAGTGGTCAAGTTATACAACTGTGAGAGATTTACTTCTATAATGAAGTCATATGTAAATGGGGTAAAAAAAACCATGGTCTATTTGCTGACTGTGCTGAGTAAAAAGTTATTCCCACCAGAGTTTTAAACAGGTTGAAAATATGTATATGGTGCTGTGAATCCACTGGTTAAATGCTGAAAATATATGGGCTTCTTACCAAACAACTTGAAGGCACTTCTGATGAATGGCTTTCTAAGTATGTTATGTCTCCTCAAATAAGATATACAAAAGTTCAGACTTGAAAACTTATTACATGCTCTAAAATTAGATTATGTAAAATTTGCACAACTTTGCAAATATATAAGAAAACATTGAATTGTGCACTTCAAATGAGGGAACCTTATAGTGTGTAAATTATAGGAAGACCTTATTAAAGGTGACTATTAGACCTGTTAGGAAGACCTTATTACAAGTGACTATTCACAGTTTTGTGGCACCTTATGTACAAATTTAACATAATTTCTTTTAAACAGTAAGTACCCTTAATGCATTTGAGTATAGACCCTTGCAGCTAAGCCTTTAGTTGTTTGGAGCCAGTGTTTGGAAAGACTGGTCTGAGATAAATGCAATCTAGATGGAAGGAAATGCAATGTTATTTTTAAGTCAAGGCACTGAAAGTATTTAGTAAGAACCAATATTGAGGGAAAGATAGGAATCAGAGCTAACACACACACCAGATTTGGTAACATATCTCTTTCTTATATATCAGATTCCTGATTTGTGGAAGTCATTTGTTTCTTAAATCTGTAGACACTCATCTTTGCAATCCTGTTGTGTTTTACACTGCTGTTTCGTTGTTGTTGTTTTTTTTTTTTTAAGATGTATTTATTTATTTGAGAGAGAGAGAGCAGCACGTGCAAGCAGAGAGGAGGGGCAGAGGGAGAGGGAGGGAGAACAGCCCATGCCAAGTGCAGAGCCCAACATGGGGCTTGATCTCACCACCCTGAGATCTTGACCTGAGCCAAAATCGAGTCAGCCACTTAACTGACTGAGCCACCCAGGTGCTCCAACACTCCTGTTTTTAAATATCTGATACATTTATTCACATATTTATACATTGTAGTTTATTGTGAAGCTATGTGGAATAGTCACAAATTACACATTATGGAGTTCAAAGTAATGTAGTTGTACCTTTCTGAGATGGGAGGCAGAGAAACCTCTAAAACTAGAATTGTGAATTCCTGCCAATCAGAGGGCAACCTAATTAAAAATATCTTTTAAAAGTTGCCAAAGGCAAAGGAGAAAGTATAATTTTTTAAATGTTCACAGCAGACTTTTCAGAAATCTTTTTTATTAAGTAACGATAAGGATCTATATCACAGTACCCCTTTATTCCATGTTTCATGTTCCAGTTTGCTTGGTCTACAGGATTTCACTTTAGACTTTTTTAAAAAATATTTTATTTATTTATTTGACACAGAGAGAGCGAGCGAGAGCAGGAACACAAGCAGGGGGAGTGGGAGAGGGAGAAGCAGGCTTCCAGTGGAGCAGGGAGCCAGATGTGGGGCTCGATCCCAGGACCCTGGGATCATGACCTGAGCTGAAGGCAGACACTCAATGACTGAGCCACCCAGGTGCCCCCACTTTAGACTTTTAGCTAAAGTCATCCCATTATTGTTGTCCTTGTTGTTTTAAGGTAATTCACATAACGTACCATTTTAAAATGTACAATTTAGCAGCATTTGTTACATTCACCATGTTGTGCAAACATAATCTTTATTTAATTCCAAGACTTTTTTTTTTTAAGATTTTATTTATTTGACAGAGACACAGCGAGAGAGGGAACACAAGCAGGGGAAGTGTGAGAGGGAGAAGCAGGCCTCCCGCAGAGCAGGGAGCCTGATGCGGGGCTCAATCCCAGGACCCTGAGATCATGACCTGAGCCGAAGGCAGACTCTTAACGACTGAACCACCCAGGTGCCCCTAATTCCAAGACATTTTCATCACCCCAAAGGGAAATCTCATGCCAGTTAAGCAGTCAATCCCCATTCCCACCTCCATCCAGCCCTTGGCAACCACTGTCCTGCTTCTTGTCTGTGGACTTACCCATTCTGGATATTTCCTATAAATGGAGTCATATAACATATGACCTTTTTTGTCTGGCTGCTGTCATTTAGCATAATGTTGTCACTTGGTATAGTGTTTTCAGGGTTCATCCATGTTGTATCATTGCTTCAAATCCACTGTATGGACTGTACGAATATGAATCATTTTCCATGGGTATTGGGAATAGTGCTGTCATGAAAATTTGTGTACAAGTTTTTGTTTAAGTACATGTTTTCAATTATTTTAGGTACCTAGGAGTGGAATTTCTGAGTCACATGCTAATTGTATGTTTAACTTTCTGAGTTTTCCAAACTGTTTCATGGCAGCTCTATCATTTTACATTCTTGCCAGCAATGTACAAGGATTCCAGTTTTTCCACATCCTCATCAAGCTTTTAGTTGTGGGTGTGAAGTGGTATCCTGTTGTGTTTTTGATTTGCCTTTCCCTAATGGCTAATGATATTGAGTATCTTACGTGCTTTTTGGCTACTTTTATCTTCTTAACCCTTTATTTTTTAAGTTTATTTATTCAGGTAATCTCTACACCCAATGGGGACCTCATGACCCCAAGATCAAGAGCCTCATGCTCTACCAGCTGAGCCAGCCAGGTGCCCCTCTTAACCCTTCATTTTAAAGAATTATTGAATTCTCACCAGTATCACTGGGTTTATTTTTGTTCTATTCCTAGAGACCAAATAAGACCAATAAAGTGATATTTTTTTCTCAAGCTAGTTTACATTTCTAGAGGTAAGATAAACCTGTAACCAAAAAGTCTTGACTTTTACATTATATAAAGATGTTAGGGGCGCCTGGGTGGCTCAGTCGTTAAGCGTCTGCCTTCGGCTCAGGTCATGATCCCAGAGTCCTGGGATTGAGCCCCACATTGGGCTCCCTGCTCAGCGGGGAGTCTTCTCCCTCTCCCACTCCACCTGCTTGTGTTCCCTCTCTTGCTGTGTCTCCCTCTGTTAAATAAATAAATAAAATCTTTTAAAAAAAAGATGTTATCTTTCTATTTTCCTAACATATAATGAAGATTTTGTGTTCCATTAAAAAGAAAAAGAACCAGTCATTCTAATAACTATTTCCTCATGATAAAATGGTTATGGAGAAAGGTAGACCACAGGGAGACTTCCGATAGCATGAGTTGCTTGGGCTTCCTTTTCAGTGTCAGAGGTTTTGGAATGTCCCCCAACAAACCGGAACAGTATATAAAACTTCACCTTCACTTGGACATCTTGTAATTTGTTCCTTTGATATTTCCATGTGTTCCATTGCTGATAATAGGATGCCTGCCAAAGAACCACCAGCTAGCTGCCCCAATTCTTATAGAGATAACACTGATAAGGATGGGGCGCCTGGGTGGCTCAGTCGTTAAGCGTCTGCCTTCGGCTCAGGTCATGATCTCAGGGTCCTGGGATCAAGCCCCTCATCAGGCTCCCTGCTCGGCAGGAGGCCTGCTTCTCCCTCTCCCACTCCCCCTGCTTGTGTTCTCTCTCTCGCTGTGTCTCTCTCTCTCTCTCAAATAAATAAATAAAATCTAAAAAAAAAAAAAAAACACTGATAAAGAGAATTCAGAAATACCTAGACTCAATATTTGATACCCTTAAGATTTCACAGGTCAAACGACTTCTTTTGATGTGCATTTTACTCTAAAGATCATTGCCCTTACCTACAATGTTTTTTTTTAATACAAATACGTTCTGTATTGAACTTTCATTGCAGATGCACAGATAGTAGAGATGCAAGGGAAGAGCAGTTTGACCAATGATTTTGTTGGTTAGCATTTTTAAAATTCACTGTTACCATGCTCTTGAGATAGTTTCTTGGTCTCCACAGATTACCCTGCATACCACTCAGTTAGCAAATGATCATCATGAGAGTGGCTGAATTTATTGTGAACCTATTATGTATGTCTGGCACCGTATTATATTTTTACACCAAATATCTAATCTTTACAGCAAACTTAGCAACATAGATATTTAGTAGGTAGTAGCAGAATTTTTTTAAAAACTGAAATAAAATACAACAGAGTAGAAAATATCAGAGCACATCATATCTATTGAGGATTAGGTATGCTTTTCATGAAACTTACTTTCAATTGTACATTTATGTATGTACGTACTAGTTTGGAATACACTTGAATTTCAAAATACAGTGAGTCCATAGAACTGAGCTGTGTCAACCTATTGATAATGACAACCTTTGGGTATTTCCATAATCAGTAATACAGGCTCGAGCATAGCAGAAGACTATCTTAGGCTGAATTTTGCCTTCTACTGACCTATAATGCATCACGTTTGTCAAGCAGTACCATACACTGGTTAACAATCCCACGGGAGGACTCTAAACACTTCTCCCCATTGCATCTTGGTGCCAGAGTCTTCAAAGAAAACACAAGCAGTAGATGGAACAGTGCTTTACTTACATAGAAAGGAAACAGAGCAAGATTACCTTTAATAGTGGGTGTTGGTCCACCATTGCCAGTGAGTTTCTCCCAGTGGCCATGCAGGACAGTTTACCTATGCACACTCCTCTTGTGCTGTCCCCTCTCCACAGAGGACTGATATAACAGTGAGGACTCATGTAACACATGACGCACACACTTTAAGCTGAGACCAAAAAGCATTCATTGAGCCTGAAAGAGGGAAAGATACTCCCAGGGCAAGATGATAAGCCCTGCACAGGCCGTATGGGCTCTTTATCTCTTGGTAAGGAAGTTTTCATCCTTATGCAGTTGAGTGGGGGTTGAAAGACTATACACATGAGACTGCCTTTCCCCACAAGGTTTGTGGTCTTAAATAGTGTCACTTTAATCTCATTATCAATAATTTCAGTAAATGAATTAATTATTTGTTAGCTGGAGCTCTCTGATACTAAGTACTGTTTAATGTATTTTCCATTAAGAGCTAAATCTAATTGTTTAGAATATGTGTTCTTCAATTTGCTATTTTGTACCTTTTTTATTAAGTGATGTAGTTTTACAAGATTATTTTTAGACCTCGTATATGTATATAGTTTTAGTTCTGGGGAGAATCTAGCTCTTAAAATCCAGTGCGTTGGGGACTGGGGAAACAGTAATCCACAGGGAGAACACATTACAAGTCTCTTCTGTTTCTAAATGAAAACAATTTCTTCACATTCAGAAGCAGTTCTGCTTCTAATTCTTCAAAATTACAAAAAGAAACAGTTTTTAAAAATCTGGTTTCAGGGGGAATTCTCACAAGTTTAAGGACAATCTTAATCTTTGCTTGTTTTTCTCCCAACGATATATTTTCCTTAGTAATCATTAAAAAAAAACACATTGAAAAGCACTGTAACAGTCACGACTTTAATACATATTACTATAAGACAAAAAAATTCGTTATAGGTAGGGAAGAAAATTACTTGTTCTCATCATTAAATGTGTGTTGTTTCACTGTCACATTCAAACTTAACCTCTTGTGAAATGCAGAGAATAGCAAGTAATTCTTAATGCTGTGCAGTTATCCTTTAAGTGTTATCAGTAAATAGAAATTATCATGAAAAATGCCATCTTTGTTTTAAATCTAAAAAGCTCAGAATTAATTTTTTGATTCCAGACAGTTGTTTCAGAGCAGAGTAATATTGACATAGTTTTTCCATTTATCTCTCTGATTTAATTTCAGTAATTAAAACCACAATATGTATATAAATGATTTTTAAATGTATTATGCATTTAGTTTTTTAAAAAATTAATTTTATAAATCCATTAATTCTCAAAAGAAGGATGTCAATGGCTGTCCCATTTTTCAGGGCTTTTTTCCAGACTTCAGACTCCAGTTCCAAAAGTAAGAACTTTTTCCACATCACTGTCCTCGCTTCAAGTGGCAGGTCCTGTGTGGAACCTGGGTCGACTCAATCATGTAGCAATTGCAGTGCCAGACTTGGAAAAAGCCAAGGCATTTTATATGGATATTCTGGGGGCCCACGTAAGTGAGACGGTCCCTATTCCTGAGCACGGAGTATCTGTTGTTTTTGTCAACCTGGGAAACACCAAGATGGAGCTACTTCATCCGTTGGGAAATGACAGTCCAATTGCAGCTTTCCTGCAGAAAAACAAGGCTGGAGGAATGCATCATATCTGCATTGAGGTATTTTATTTCAATGTTTGGTGTTTCAAATTTCTCTTTTACAAAGTGTCTTTTTTTTGCATTTTTTTAAAGTTTATTATGTTATGTTAATCACCATACATTACATCATTAGTTTTTGATGTAGTGTTCCATAATTCATTCTTTGCATATAACACCCAGTGCTCCATGCAGAACGTGCCCTCTTTAATACCCATGACCCATCCCCCACCACCCCTCCCCTCTAGAACCCTCAGTTTGTTTCTCAGAGTCCATCGTCTCTCATGGTTCATCTCCCCCTCCAATTTCCCCCCTTCATTCTTCGCCTCCTGCTGTCTTCTTCTTTTTTTTTTTAACATATAATGTATTATTTGTTTCAGAGGTACAGGTCTGTGATTCAACAGTCTTACACAATTCACAGTGCTCACCATAGCACATACCCTCCCCAATGTCTATCACCCAGCCACCCCATGCCTCCCACCCCCCACCAAAGTGTCTTTTACTCTTTAAGACTAGATATTGTCACTGTCATCAGAAACTGGTATTAAGTTCTATAAAGGGAATGGTAATATTGGTCTTAATCAAAGATGGATCCATGGATATATTCTCTTTTCCTCTAGAAAACTAAATAATAATAATAATAAATTTTACTGAAGTCTGGATTTAACAGCCACAACAAAGGCTAGCAAAGCTGGCCAAAATAGATTTGCATCTTTGCTATAGTATTTATTGATTATACATAACCTCCCATGTAATAGGAATACAGCTGCTTTCACTATCACAAGGCAATTAGAAGAAGAAGGTGAAAAGACTTTATAGAGTAAGAATTTCTATATACATGCTAAATTCTTATGATTATTTTCTATCCTTTCAATTCTAATAACTTGTTCCTTATTACAATAGCAATATATTTTCAATTACTGACCGTGATTTTAAGACCTTTCAATTGCATCTGCTTACAATTCCCGAGAAAAACTTGAAATGTTAGACAAGAACATTCTCATTAGAGAGCCCGTATCTGTAGATATTCATGTTCAGATAACTGCCTTTTGTAATATCAGCAATACTAATTATGCTTCACTTTAAATTATTTTGATAGGACAATTCTTTTGATAGAAAGAATGGCATAATTAATTGGTAGGCCTCATTCCTAATCTAGAAGAGAAGGGGGTTGATTCTAGAGTGAATTCAAGGATTTATTCAGTTCATTTTGCAAACATATTTGAGAACCTACAATATATACTCCACTGAGTAGAGGGATTCAGCAATGAAGAAGAAATGGACCATGCACACAGTGAGGAGGGGGCAGCTATTTAAACAGGCAAGTACACTATCCTCTGATAAAACAGAATTAATACACACGTCTTCTCAGTAACATCAATAAGGGAAAGGTTGCTCCCGGCCAGCAGAGGAGGTGAGAAGGTATCACAGGGCATGAGTTGTAATGAATGTGAAGGAATTCCCCAGATCAAGGAGGAGAAAGGTATTCCAGGCAGAGGAAATAGCATATGCGAAGGAACAGTTATACTAACAGCTCACATTGAATCCTCGGGCAGTATACCAAGTACTCAGTGTGTACTATTTTCTTTAATTTTTACAGCTACTCTATGAGCTATTCTACTCCCCTTTGACAGTTAACTTGCCTGTAGTCAAATTAGTAGTAAGTGGGAAGGCTGAGAGTCAAACCAGATTTGTTCTGATTCCAGGATCTGCACTATTAGCCATGGTACCACATTGCCTCCATTATATTGGCTAAGTTTAAAATTTGAGGTGAGGAAGCCATAACATGTTAGTAGATAAACAAGCCTAATATTTAACCTTTACACCTTTTTGGAGGTTAATTTTGGCTGCAAGTCTTTATTTCAGTGGACTTGTCTAAGGGTTTGTCTAAGACACCCCCCCAAGATGAGAAGCAGGATCATCAACCTTTGAATTGACTCTTCCCTTTCCCACACTAGTGTCTGTGTTCCACATCAGAGAGTCCAGGCCTTCAAAGGAAGCTGCCATGTGAGTTAGAGTTCAGTTAAGTAAAGAACAGTGGAAGTTCAGTACTGCAACAGCGAATTCAAAAGTACAGATTAAAAGGGGGAAATGAAAATGTATGTCAGTATAAAATGAAGCTGTGCAATAGGAAAAGGTGTGAAAAGTTAGTTGCTAAGTTAGTATGACACTCCCTGCCATTGTTCTCTACTCTCTGTAAAAAATAAAGTGGCTTAACTAGGTAGATGGATAGATGGATTTTATTTTTCTCTTCTCAGTCTAAAAGTGAGGTGTCCCAGAGGGGAGGGGAGGCAGAGAGAGCATACAAGGCAAAAGAGAGGATCTAGAAATTAGACATATCACTCCTGTTCGTGTCCCATTGGCCCGAGCTTCATCACCTGGTACTCTTGGCTGCAAGTGCGGTCTGTAGTCAGGCGGTTAGGTACCCTGCTAAAACTTGTGCTATTGCTATAATTAAAAGGAAAAGGGGAGGGCGTATTGGAGACCACCCATCTATGCTGCACTTGGTAAATTTGAAAAAATGATATTGCCAGAATAGCATGACACTTTTTCTGAATGAAGGTATGCTGTAGGATGGAAACATAGGAGAGTTAGGGTCGCCTGCTGCCGCAGTCTATGAAATGAAGTCGTCATCACATGCAGGGGTTTGATTCCCTGACTCACCAGATAGAGCAGAATTCCTCACCTATCCTTGAACAGGACACATTTCTGTTGAACGAAGCCACTGAGATTTCAGGGTAAATTTTCTTTTTTAATGTAAAGACATATTTAATGATTCTTAATAATCACAGATACAGGATTAGGGAAACAGCAAGAAATGCATGGCATATTAAACTGGGTGATTCTAGGAGAGTTTAGTAAGGGAATTCCTTATAAGACATGGGCAAAGTTTAGGTAGTCAACAGTACATGGCGCAGTATCCTTAAGGCTAGCTCTGGGATGGGATGGGGACTGTTAGAACCTCTTAAGTCTGAAGGGACAAGTGAAGGACCATTACCAGGACCTACCGAGGGAAGTGTACTGAGCAGGTCTCTAAACAAGAGTGGTGGCCTTCGTTAGAGGGAGCAAGCCAGGGAAACTGGGCAGGGTGGGGGCAGGGGACTAAATATCCCCACTTCACCTGTTCCCCACCCTCCTATCTTCATGTTAGTGGACCCAGAGAAAAGCAAGTTTTTGAATGCAAATAAACTTCCTGACACACAGAGCGTGATGAAGCAGAGTGGAACACAGTGAAGAAGGAAACCAAAGGGGCGAGTGGAAGATATCTGGCACACCTTCCATCCCATTGACTCTTCAGGGTAAATTATTTGAGCACAGTATAACCTAGTCTGTTCTGGCTAATACCACTTGGGTCTGAAATTGCCTTTTACTGAAAGTGCAAAAAGTAATAGAATTGGTCAGAGAAATACTTTCTTGGTCATTACAGTTACTGTTGCCATTGATATGCATTATCCTACAACTTTGGGGTGGCAAACAACAACTATTTGATTTTGTTTAGGATTTTGTGGGCTGGGAGTTTGGGGGAGGGCTCTGCCAGGCAGTTCTAACTTGGGATCTTTCATGTGCTTACAGTCAAATGCTGGCTGGAGGTACAGTTGTGTGAAGGCTCGCCTCATTTGAGGTGGCTGTTGATTCCAGCCAGCAGCTGGGTGCTTGGCCAGGCCTTCCAGTAGGAGCACCTGCATGTAACCTGTTCAGCTTCAACTGCTGAGGGTAGTTTTAAGGATAGTTGGACTTCTTACTGGGCAGCTGGCTTCCCCCAGAGTGAGTGTCCCAAGAGAGCCAGGCGGAACCACATGGCCATTTCTGTCCCAGCCTCTGAAGTCCCACACCAGTCTCTTGGTCATACACAAGCTTTTCAGGCAGACCAACTGCAAGAGAAGAGGACATAGACCCTGCCTCTTGATGGGAGGAGCAGCAAAGAATCCATGGACAAGTGTATAGCCGTCAATATACTAATGTGTTCTAAGCAAAAGGAAAATGTGGGAAACTTTTAAATGGTATAGAATGATTTTATTTTCAAAGATCCAGAAGTGGGAACCAGCAGCATTCTCATATGCATGAGGAAGTAACCTATCTGGCCTTTGTAAATATAAGGAGATTCAAGATAGGTGCTTGATAAGGTAGAAAATGATAAATATCATCTACATAGTGATATTTAAAAACCAGTGACTTTGGCTTTTCCTGTTTGAGGGATAGGCAACATTCAGAATGTGTCTTCTGAAAATGCTCACAATCTTCTATAGCTTTATGGCTCCTAGCCACTTATTTCTTAATGCCCTTCCTTCTTTTGAAATGTTAAATACACCCCATCAGAGAAGTGAATTTCTTCTCTGTAATTATCACCAGGATACTTTATATTCTTTCCCACTTGGACTTCATATAAAACCCCTGGTTTAGCAGTGTGTCTGCTGTGGGCAGACATCATAGCTTTTTGTTGACTTAACAGATTTTAAACAAAAGGTACTTTTTTCTCGTACATGAATTAGTTTCTCACCAACTTATCAACAGCTTTCTGTCAAAGTTGGCTTTTGGTTTCATTTTCATGTACACGTGCACATACACACAATTCATTAACACTTTCAGCAGGGGTCTTCCAGAACTGATCCCCAACAAGTTCCCCTCTATTCTATTTGGTTCATGTCTTTGTCTACATTATATTGCTGATTGTCGAGTATTTTCAGTTTCACTCTGATCCTTGCTGCCTTAGGTGCTGGAGATATGTAGCTGAACAAAACACAGAGTCCCTTTCTTCCTGGAGTTGTGCGTGCCTCATTTATTCACACAAGCCCTGCGTTTTCCACAGAGGATTGGTGGGTGACTGACCAAAATATAGTTTATAAGATATAAAATAATGAACATAAGTAATAGTGCAAATTAGAACAAAAAAGAAATATAAGGCAAAATAAAACTAAAGGTAAGATTAGTATGTCTATTTGTTTTACCCAATATCACTTTGTAGTTTCCAAAACAAGAGGGAAAATAAAGAATATTCAGAATAATTATGGCTCTTTCCTCCTTCC